CGCCGGCGTGATAGAGAGAAGCGAGCGAGCGAGAGTGAGAGCGCCACCTTCTTTGATGGTGGAGAAGGCTGCAGAAAAAATGGGCGCAACTTCCCTAAGTCCCTAACACTTGTTGGTGCTCTTCAGTTCTGGTGATCTCAAAATCCAAATCAATCCGTTTACAGGTGCGTTTCTTGTTAATTTCCTATTTCAACCTGTATCTCGAATCAGTCTCCAACGGTCTGAATTTTTTGCTTCGGTATGCCCTCGGTTGCTAAAATTGGGGATGAGTTCAGTTACTGTTAGTAGCTCTTGTCAGTTAGCTTATCTTCCACTATGCTGGACTGAAGATTGCCAGACGGCTGCCGGGGTTGATGGGGGCGGCATCCACAATCGATTGAGCTTGTGCAGTACCGTTCCGCATTCAAACGATGCCCACCTGCCGGTGAGTTTCTGTGCAGACTGACATTTTTTTTATGCGGTAGCTTTGGCTTCTCTGCTCAAATGTTACCGCCAGTTTGCACGGCAAGGGCTTTCAGTTGTGCAGTTCTCCATCTGCTCTAAGCTTGGCATGAATTTCCTGTCATGATAGCAATGAACAAGTCACATCGTATCATTTGGCTTGTGGTTCATGGGAGAGAACCCAATGCCTGAGATTGTTTCGACATCCTCCATTTCAGCATACAAAATAAACATTCAGTTCTTTAGACGCCTTTGCTGTCTGACACTGGAGGTACAACTTGGAGAAGGACAGCCGCGGTGTGATGAACCCAACGAATTTTAGAGCTGGATATATAGTGCACTCTCCTTCTGTTTCCGCGACATGTATCTGAATGCCTGTCATATTTGCGCCGAGAGAAAAAACTTGAACCATATATTTGTAGTAAAAGAAGCGCCCAGAAAACACAGCAATGTACTAATGGCGGCAACGACAAGACAGCATGAGTGCCAAAATCATTGCTAATATAATCCACTACATCTCTTCTAATCATCTCAGGGTAACAAAATTTAGTCTACATATATCAGCAAGCATAATTCCAACCGAGAAGCTGATACAATCATGATGCCTGAAATCATGACTTATTACAGTACCAACCTAACTAGCCTGTAATACAGGTTCTAGGAACAGTTCACAAAAGAGGGAAATAAATTATCCATTATTAATAAGCTCAATAGCCTCATCTAGCGTGGTAGGCTAGCAGATGACAAGAACTCTGCCTCCAAGCTATAGCGTCGTTGGCTACCACCTGGTTGTGAGGACAATTGCCGAGCAGATCTACTCCTTTGAGTTAACGACCTTGGTTGCATATGTTCTCCATTTCTCGGATCAGGCTGAGATGAGTTCATCCGTTTTGCCCGTAGAGTCTGCAGTTCTGTCTCAACCTGTTTCATGGTTGGTCTTTCTTCGCCGTGTAGCCTCAAGCACCGCTCTGCAAGAGAGGCAACACCATTGATCTCTTCCTCGGTTGCCTCCTCAAGCACCTGAGAATTAGCAATATCGGTGATTCTTCCCTCATTGAACTCCTGTAGGAAATAGTTTGACAAACTTTTGACGGTGCCTGATTCACTTGTAAATACAGGCTTCATTCTGAGAAGCAACTCAACTAGTACCACACCAAAACTGTACACGTCGCTCTTCCCGTTCAGCTGCCTGGTATGGAAATACTCTGGATCTAAGTACCCAAATGTACCTTGCACATTTGTAACAATGTGTGTTTCATCAATTGGAACCAACCTAGACGCACCAAAGTCGGAAACTTTAGCTGTGTAGTTCCCATCCAGCAATATATTTGAGGACTTTACGTCACGATGGAAGATTGATATTGAAGCTGCAGAGTGGAGATAGGATAGAGCTCCTGCTGTTTCCAGGGCAATCCTTAAGTAGTCACCCCAAGACAAAGAAAGACCATTGCTTGCATCTGCATGAAGAACTTGAGACAGTGAACCACTGGATACGTAGTCATACACCAGCAGTGGAACCTCGGTTTCGAGACAACATCCGAAAAGCTTCACAATATTTCTGTGGTTTATCTGAGTGAGGACTGCAACCTCATTGATGAATTGATTGATCTCACACTGCTCAATGACTTTAGACTTTTTTATTGCAACGACATGTTGATCAGATAACATGCCTTTGTATACCATGCCATGGCCCCCACGGCCGATGATACGTGTAGGATCAAAGTTATTTGTTGCCTTCTCTAGCTCTTCTAACGAGAAAATCTTTGTTCTGTCATGGGCAGTTTCATCAGATGATATCAACGTTTCTAGAAGAAGACCTTGGTTCTTCCGGAAAAATTCCTTCCGTAATTGATTCTGAATATATTTACTCCGTCTACGAATGAGAAATATTGTACTAAAGCTCAGAACTAGAATGCTGAAGCCACAAGACAACCCAATAATAATACCTGTAGGCATTAATTAAGCTCTTTAAGTTTCTATTCTTCTACCTGGTCTGTCATAATTCATAAATATAACAACTACAGTCTTACCTAAAAACAATATTTGTTGTTTCGTTGTAGTACACCGCATTTTTGCTGCATCATATTCAGTGTTCGGGGGACATTTAGTACAATAGTAGCTCCCTTCGGTGTTACGGCAGACCCCTTGACAAATGTTTGGTTCACGACATTCATCTACATCTGAAATTAGCATGTAGGTAGGACACATCAACAAACTGTATCACATGGAAGAATTAGTATGTTACATCATCCGATAAAATGAAAACTACAAGAATGACATAATAAACTAGCTAGATGTCGATAATTATTTTTCACCATCTATTAATACACGCCATATTTTCAAGTAGTATGTGCCTAACCGCCTATTAGTATATTCACACAATTTTCTCCTAGAAAAAAAGTAGGAGTAGCTGGTAGCATCATTTTCCTCCAACTGTATAATTAGTTAAGGTTGCTTGTAACTTGGTATAGTATCTCAAACAAAGTTTCAGCATCAACTAGCACAAATGCCCGTGCGTTGCACCGGGCGAAAAAGGGGCACAACCGGCTTCATATTCCATTATGCACCATTTTATATATCCAATTTTAATAAACATCGATAATAAGGTTAAGCAGATTAGTGTTTTTATAGCATAGCAAACATGCCCGTGCGTCGCAGCGGGAGTTTTAAAAAATAGCCCATGGTCCTAACCTTATCCAATAAGCATGGCTAAAGATACCCCCATCCCTGAAGTTCAAAGTCTCAAAAAAAAACATCTAAATAGTTGATACATCTGTATGACCTTACATATCAATCAAAATCTAAGGAGAAGGACCCTAGACACAAAAACTATTGCCAACCATTTCCTAAGCTTTAGAGCAGAATGCAAAATAAACATTTACATGAGCAAAATATATAACATTTTGAATCATGAATAATTAAATACAGCCATTCCCTAGATTAGGTAAGCAATATATCTAACGTTGCACCTGGAGAATTTTTTTTCATAATCTCCAATGACCATGACAACTTTTTTTTGCATCACCGATAACATTTTGCCGAACATTTTGTTCAATTTCATTACTATTTTTTAATACATGATTTTTTAAAATAATGAATATTTTTTTATTTCCCAAACATTTGTTTTCAAAATATGCAAACATTTTTTGAATACTCTAATATTTTAAAAAATTACAAACATTTTTTGAATCCATAAGCATTTTATGATTTATTAAACATTTATATAAATTTTTTAAATATGGAAATGTATTCTTTGGCATTATTTTGACTTGGTCCAAACACAGGCGTTTTGCATCTAAGGTATTCTCTAAAAAAAGTCACACACATTGGTACCCCACTCCAAGCTCGGTGCAACACCTTCACATATTTATGCTTGTTGTAACACCCCAGGACCAATTATTTAGTTTCTTTACGTAATTCATCTTATTACTATATTTTTATTTTATTTTGCATTGCATCATGTCATGATGCTTTAATTTTTAATCTGGTTATTCAAACTCTCAACTTGAACAAAAAATTGCTAACCCAAATTAAATGCGAATTAATAAATTGCATGGATCTTTGATCTATTTAAATCGATAGAATTCACATGGTGGTTCCTTTATAAACCTATGAACCTCCTAATATTATCTAGAACCCATTAAACTCTATTCTCCATTACTCCAATTCAAGTTGAATCGTGGATTCCATTACTCCAATTCAAGTTGTGGGTCTTTGATATATGTCAGAGTGGCCACATGCTCTTTGATCTTCCTTCTCCTTTTCTGAAAATTGTGAATTTGTTCAGCAATGCGCAGTGGGTTGGCCCAATGAGCGCAGAAGCAACAGCAGCCGGTCCCAAGGACTATAACTGGCCGAACTGGCCCAACTGCAGGCCCAGTTCTCCCTGCTAACCTCTAACCTAGCGAGAGGGGAGACTCAAAAAAAAAAACCTAGCGAGAGGGGATGAGCACCTGCTCGATCCCCACTTCCCACGGGCGCGCGCACCCCGCCGCCGCCAAACGCCGGGCCACTGGCGCCATGGCCGCGGCCTCACCGGTGAGGGCTGCTGCCTCGATCCCACACGCGCGCACCCGCCGCCACCAGGGCAGCCCTTCCCTTCATTCCATCTCTCCCTCTTGCGCCCCTTCTTCTTGTACCTCCCCTCCGGCCACCGGCGCCCATGGCCATCACCAGCGCTGCTGGTCCGATCCGGCCACCGGCGCCCATGGCCGTCACTAGCGCTGCTGGTCCGATCAGGTCGGATCGGATTTTTTTTCCTTTCCGTTCTACTTAGTCGATAGGGGACTGAAATAGCGAGGTGGTACTATCTTAATACAAAGTCACCAGTACTGGTTCGAACCCAGGCAGGAGCACCTGCCGACGCCCAGCCGGGCAACCAGAAGGCACAATCGAATCGTTTTTCTCACTTATTTTTGGACTGTGGGTTCTATTTTTGAAAAGCAAAGGGACTTTTTTATAAAAACGCCGCGACGGGGAATCCGAAGACTCAATCCGTGCGTTGCAATGGAAGACAAAAAATTATGGCTAACCAAAAATATGACTCAGTATCCTGATATATGAGCATACTCTATTTTAACACAGTGCCTCACCATGTTGCCATTTTTTTCTCACCCTAGCCGATGATGGTCGCGATGTCCACGTGATCACAATGCATTCGACGTGGTAAATCCCAAGGCTATGAGTTTGTCAGTGCATGCCACACTTGTCATTATTAGGGAGAGATATACGTATGGTGAAAAAGGTCTAACATGCTCAAATATTGACTTATTTAAATATATTAAACAACTTCTGTAACAAAAAAACAAGACTACATATTTGTTGGGACACTGATATGGTCCCATTCGTTGAATCTTTCAGCATCCCATTTAATACATTTTATCATTTTAATTTGTCTGGTCAAAACTAACATGAAAATACCACTGGTAAAAGTGCAAACGGTTTGAACACACACATCCAAGGACCACTTCCTTTCCTTTGACTTAAGAGAATAACTACCTTGGTTATCCTGGTGTGTGCTATACATTAAATGGTATATGTACATGCTTTCCTGATATTGATTAAAGTCATGTTTTCATGGTAAATAGCACTTGAAGT